CTCACTTCCTCTCTCTCTAAAATTCAATTGGGGAAAAAAAAAAAGTGACATGAGCACACACAGTGTAGGCTGTGATTGCCACAATTTTTATGTCAATGTTAAGTGGAGGGGTCCTAAGTCCAGCCATTGAAATGAATATGTAAATGTTACCTCTCAAATTAGATGCAAGGAACAATGGAGGCTATAAAAGCCAAGCAAACATCCTCATAATAGCCCCTCATGAAAAGAAAGTTTGAAATTGTATACAATATAGTTTATGTGGGCCACTTAATATACTAATATATTTAATATGTTGGTCAGTAACTATAAAATGCCATCAGGTCCACTGAACAGCGAAAACACTGTGAGAATCGGCCATGGAATTAGCCCACCTGCCCTTCTCTCTCCCTCCTTTTCTCTATTAACAAGATGGAGCATTTTGAATCGAATACCATAAACTTCTTTGTAACAAAACTGGCTCCTGTGTGAAGCAGAAAAGCAGGCAGTCTCCAACTTATGAAAGTGCTCTTTATTCCAAAAGCTCTTTGAATTCATAAATTGAAATCCTTATTATAGTTTCCCACGGAAACAACACTGTGAGGCAAGGTAAACTTTTTAAACCACTTCACAAAGGACTCATCTATAATAATAAAAGCGTATTATGCTAATTAGACCAGAGATCCTTCAAGATGACCTTCCAGACGAAGCTGGAGGGAAGCCCAGGTCCCAGGTGCCAGAAGGAAGCCAGTGCCGGCAGCCGGGGGGCGGGGGTGGGTGGGTGAAGGAAGGCCGCCTCTTGCACGACCGTCGTGCATCTGGCCTCTAGTTAATTCTATCATATACTTGCTTCACAGTATTGTACCAAAGGTATAGTCAGGCATTGCCCCTGATGTACCTAGGGAAGTGTTTTTCAGTTCCCACTGTGGTGTCAGGAATATCTCTTCTGCCGCCAGCAGATTTAGAGATGCCACTCCTTTCACTCCTGAGCAGTAAAGAGAGAGGAAAAAAGGAGCTCCTTCTTTCCTGAGGTCTCTGTGATGGACCTTTATGCTTCTTTTTCTGTGGAACCTTCTCCTGGTTCTGGCCAGCAGTTCTCTTCCTCCCCGTGACTGCTGTACAAATCCACAGCCTCAACGATTCCTCCACATCCCCGTCCTCGAAGCCTTCCTGGACCATTGAGGTTTCCTGAAGGCTTTCACTGCTGGCACCAAAAGAAAAAGAACATAAAACAAAGCTCCATCCTGTGCTACCACGGGAACCAGACTCTGCCAGACTGGCATTTAATCTCCAAAATAAAGGCTGGCTAGTGTCTTAAAACGTCATGTGAGGGGCTAGAAAGGCAAAGATAGAAGCTGGCCAGCCCGATGCATGGAAGAAGGAAATAGAATCTTATTCTGCATCCCTTCTCCTGCTGGCTAGTGCCGCCATCAGTTTTGCTAGAGTATGTACTCTACCGTGAATGGCATGGATCTGGGAGGGAAGCCACCTGCTGTTGTGGCATTTTTTGTCGGAGGAAAAGGAGAGCCAGAGAAAATGAAGGCAACTAGCCGAGAAGGAAGGAGACCAAAGAAGAGAGGGAAAGCCCAAGAGGGGGCAAACTTCTTCTGGCCATTTTTAAAATGTAAAATATAGCACATAAGTGGACTACGGCTTGTACATTTAGATGAACTTCTTTATATAGCTAAACCTAAATACTGATTATACAAAAAAAAAAAGAGTGATGTGGGATATTGTACTCAAATTTTTAATTTACCCACTGTTCATGATTGCATTTTTACTTTCTTTGTATTGAAACAAGCACATTTGTTTTCCTATTCATTTCTCTTTTCTATATATGTAATTAAGATTATGTCCAAAGAACGCTGACATGATAAATTAAAGAACTGCCCTTGCATTCTTATAGGCTGGGGGGCGAAAGGAAACATTTTTATGGAGATGCTCTTTTGAAGTAATTTAAAAGCATACAATTTAACAGTCTGCAGCTTCCCCTCATGTCAGCACACCACCATCATTCATAACATGATTGATGTGCCTAATTCCCATTTGTGAAGGAAGAATGTCTTATCTGAAAGAAAAATAAAACTTAAGGTATCTTTTTCCTGGTTTTGTATTCTCTTTTTTTTTCACAATCAAAAGAAAGAAAAGAGTGTGATCTTTTTAGTAACGTTGATTATTAAGAGACTCACTTCTTGCACACAGCAGCATTAGGTGAGCAGAATTAAGAAGCCAGGGTTTTCTGCAAACCTGAGCTTTTCC